AAATCAATTGTAGATAGTTTGCAGTATTTCATTAACGACAATTTTTGTAAGATCTCCCCAGATACACCAATATTAAATATATGTAATTTAAAAATGAAAAAAACGCCACTGTCATTGAGCTAATTGAAAATATACGCATTCAACCTTCTAGTAACCTATCCTAACCTATATAAATAACAATTAGGTAAGTAATTAAATTATTCTATGCACGAAACATGAAACAAATTACGATTCTAAAATTGTGTGTAAAATCTATGAAATTAAAGAGATACAGTATTCTATTTGCATGTAGTATTCGAATTCAAATTTTCAACAAAGCACTGATCCAAATAACCAAACGTGTTGTTTATGTGATACGTCACAATAGGCAACATGGCGTAGATTTTTTCGATCCGTCAGTGTTGAGTCAGACAATTGCTTTTTTCTTTCAAATATTTCCTCTTTTATACAATGTAGAACCAAATGACTGATTCAGTTATTATATTCGTCAGCTAAATATAATACATTTCGATAGTAATCTCTTCACTGTTTTAGTTTTCCTTAGCCTAATTTAAAAACCGCTCAAGTTGCGATCCTATGGATACTGGTTCTTTACATTCGTGTGTGCTAACAGTAAAGTTAGTGGGAATGCCTTATTGTTATCAAAGAAGACGAAGTACAGTGGTTTCCTATTGACGGCTTTGTATGAATTGTTTCAAAACGTGGACGTTATGTAGTGCAGTAATTCGTTTTGAAATGTGGTAGATTCAATGGATGAACTCTACTCCGGTGGCGGGCGGTACTATGGTAAAAACGAGTATTATCTCAAACAATCCTCCAGAGCACTCCACATCGAACATACGGTACAAAATACAGAGAGAACCGAAGTCCCTTCGCAGATCCATTTTTTTTCTTTTTTTTCCCCTACCTATGCTGATAGTGTTGAGAGGCTATATCAGCTTCGCCCCAACGTGTAGGTGAACTCACGGGGTTCAAACGGGAGTGGTGCCAACACTGGGCCTAGCAAGAGCAGTGCTTCGCAGAATCTACCACCGGATCGAAAACGCGACCCACTGAGAAGATCCGGCGAGAAACTCAGTGGGTCTGTAGGTTAATTCGCTCGTCGAGCCCTTCGTCGCGATCGACCGGTTCGACGAGGACGATGACCGATGCGCAGATCCAGAGGTTCTAAATGATCCGTGAGAATAGGATTATCAACAATCCGAATGGCCCTACATTTCCATGATTTATTTCCATTTCTGATGTAAAGTTTGCTCTTAAAGTAAAGTTGAAACTACATAGAGAGCTCCATCATTCTTTCTCGATCTGGGCTTCTACATATTACCTAAATTACTAAATTCTATAATATTTTTTAGGTATTTATCTCGTTTTCCAATTTCTCGTTAAAATCTTTTATCAGTATTATTATATCACTTACAATTATCTTCGAATACCCGCGAACACTGGCTTGGTCGCGAATTGTTGATTTGGCCTTAGTTGCTTCAACACCAACTGATCATTGGCGGAGCTTCCGCCAATCGCCATCAAGCTGTAAGAAAAGGTATGGCGATTTTCTTCTAATCCAAAAAAGGGCGGTGGAACCAATTCGTGCGAACTCACCGTGTGACCATGACTGGTTATTAACTTGCGTGCTACACAGCCAGTTTTACACCATGATATATTCTGTGTCACGGTCTATGGCTTTCGTGATTTCCATAACACAAATATTTTTTCGTGTGTCGTAAAAATTTAAGATTGAATACCCCCGGACTGCGATCGATTCAATCGATTTCTTCGTTTACTTTTGGTGAAGGTCATTCATTGGCTATGTTTATGAATAATCTAGAAGAAGCCTGTTTTTAAATCCAGTACATTTTTCAATTGAAGTACTTATTCGACGGTGTTATAAAATTTAACAATATAAACTCGTGTTATGGCAAGAGCATTTACTTGTTCGCTAGATTATACCAATGTTTCTGAATTAAAGTGAATAATCTATTCAATAAAGCGTGTGTGTGATATAGAAATTCTCCAAAAAAAGGTTTTTTTTAAATAACGTCCTTACGGATTCATCAGATGCAATAAATAACCCTTGCTTTAGACGCCTTTAGCTCTAACACTAGGCTTTAGGAGCCCTGGCTAACCGTACTCGTCGATCTCGACAATGAGTTCGACGATTAACCTAACCATCAGCCCGCTGCGTTTCTCGCCGGATTTTCTCAGCGGGTTGCGATTCCAATACAGCAGTACATTCATTCGCGAAGCAACTACTCTTGAGTTGTTAGATCTCCTTGTGAGGCTCTCGGGTAGTTTTTAGCAAACCCCACCCCTCCTGGCTGAGCCCTTGCTCGCCCATCTGTCCTGGTGAAACTGGAAAGGCCTCCGGGCCACCAGTAATCCTCCAATAATAAAAATCATTTTTGAGCGCGAACAGAGCACAAAGTGGGTCAAAATTACCTTTTCTATGCCTACCTGGCTGTCGTATTAGCAAAGAAACAAACGCCAGTACTTACAACATAACGTCTCAGTTGTATAAATATTTCTTTAGAGCACAGGCGATGTATGTAAAATAGTTGTATATTATTATCTCTAGCAGAATAGAAGCACGTTCTGGTGGATTAAAGCATCACGTGCACCGCAAATGATGGAATATCGGTTCCAATGTGTAATCATTGGTAATATTTTGGAATTTTTCTAGAGTTTGGGAAATAGAGTTATAGAGTTCCGGTCCTCAAAAAGAAAGACTTAATGTATATTAGTTAATACGCTTTTTTTTATACCTATGCTTATAGCTTTGAGAGGCTATTTCAGCTTCTCCTTGACGTGTTGGTGAGCTCACGGGGTCCAAACCGGGAGTGTTGCTAACACTGGCCCTAGCAAGAGCAGTCCTTCGCAGAATCTACCACCGGATCGGAAACGCGATCCACTGAGACGATCCGGCGAGAAACTCTGTGGGCTGTGTTTATGGGTTAATTCACTCGTCGAGCCCTTCGTTCCAAGCGATAGGTTCGACGAGGACGGTGACCGGTGCTTGTGGTACCTAAAAGCACCGTTAATGGATCGGGAGGTTCCGTAATGACGTGGTTGTTAATACGCTTTTATGAGCTTAACCTTTATCTGTCTCATGAAACGGCATCTTCTTACGTCATTTTCGAGAACTTCAAGACGACCAATTAACTTGTTTTCTACTTAGGTATCAAGGCTTGATGACGATACAATATAATTTTATTACGCTTTGGCCTGATATTTCCGACCATAATCACTATAAAACAAAAGATTATAATTTTTAACTCGTCTCGTTATTAAAGCGTGTTCTAAGTTTTTAAAATTACAGCTCCCTCATATAATTATTATTGACACGAAAGGGTTCCAAGTTAAATAATTTGCTCCAACTTTGGATTTTGTAATGTGATAAACTAGTACCATATTACGAATGATAATAATATACGATAATTAATTTCTGGGGTCAGTGTTAGCAACACTCCGGTTTGAGCCCCGTGAGCTCACCTACACACGTTACGGCGAAGTTGAAAAAGCTTCTCAAGGCTATCAGCATAGGCAGGATAAAAAAAAGATTAAAAGTACACTCAGACACCGAATATCTTTCGCAAAGGATTGAAATCCAATGGAATTGTCCCTGGACTTCGTGGTCCAGCGTTCAGGTTCACGAGAGAATGAAATAAATAACACTATGCTTTTAGAAATTCTTCTTCTTAATCCTGCCACTCTTGATAGAGTGGTCGTGATCGTCATGTACATATTTAGTGTTTGAGGGGGCTACCTTGATTTTTAGAAGTTAGCCTTCGAAAAATCACGACTATATAATCCGCACGGTTCTTATCAGTTTTACGTCACGAGGCAATCGTACTGAAGAAACACTGGTTTCTACAGAAAGAAGTGCCTTATCTTATCACGACAGCTAATACGACCACATGGTCAGTTTTAGATAATAAGAAAAAACAGCTGCTTGTACACTTGGTATTTGAGTTTGAGATTTAAACAACAGGGAAGATTTGCTAAGGTCTTTCCTCGTCGCTGTTTAGTTATTTTATACTTTTTCCTGGTTGTACGCAAAATGATGAGGCTGTTTGCACGAACTCTGTAGGCTATTGTATCCTACAGAACGATTGTAATACAACAGACAATATTGTGCGAGAGGTATTTTTTGTTGGTTTACACGGGATTTGCTAAAGAAGAACATGATTACTGGTGTTGAGGTATCCTGTGAGGTGGCATGGTTAGGTACTACCCTGCCTATTACTGCCACGAAGCAGTAATGCATTCCAGTTTGAAGGGTGGGACAGTCGCTATGACGTTTCAAGGTCGGTGACGCCATTCACGTAGTGATACCTACAGGCTCCAGCCGCTTAATTAGGTGCCATGAAACTTTTATCCACCTTTGCTTAGGTGAATAAAAGAAATACAATCCACAATTTTTTAAGTGGTTACTGAAGTCCATATACATAACAACTTCGGAGCCGTCACGTGCCTTTCTTTAGACATGATATCTGAGTTTTAATTCTTTATACCCCGTCCTTCTAATCAGAACGCAACTTTGCGGTAGTATGGTGCTACCAAGCTGTGAGTAGGTACTCCAACTATAAGTAAAAGCAATTTTACTTGCAGTATCAATCTGAAAGAAACACTAATTTGTTTATTTAATTTGAATGTGTAAAAATGAACGGAATCCTAAAAAAATGTAATCTTAATGTGAAAAGTTCTTTTTTTTTATTGCTTAGATGGGTGGACGAGCTCACAGCCCACCTGGTGTTAAGGGGTTACCGGAGCCCATAGACATCTACAACGTAAATTCGCCACCCACCTTGAGATATAAGTTCTCAGGTCTCAAGTATAGTTACAACGGCTGCCCCACCCTTCAAACCGAAACGCATTACTGCTTCACGGCAGAAATAGGCAGGGTGGTGGTATCTACCCGTGCGGACTCCCAAGAGGTCCTACCACCAGTAAAAAGTTCTTCAAGTTAGATGCTTTTAAATCAGTTTCTTTGTATTTTTTTGCAGAGGGACGACCATTCACTCCTCGCGCAGTTCTTTTTCGCGGACGATGCTCTGAACATGGTCGCCGCAGAGCTAGACTCCTTCGACGGAAGGAAGGACCCAGACAGATGTTCAACCCTCGTCAATCAGCTACGACATGCACAGGTAGGTTTTTATTTTTGCATATTCATACAGGGTAAGGATAAGGACTGATTTATTTGCCTCTGTTGTATTTCTGGAAAGCGAACAGAGATATAATCATATAGCGATGTAGCCTCTTAAAAATCGCAAAAGAAGTAAACTATTTTTTTCTTATTCAAAATGTTGCAATCAAACCGTCATACGTTCTAATTTAATCAATGGATAGACTTGTTTCTTATTGCACTTTCAAATTGATTTTGTTTGAATTTTTTTTTTTTTCAAATCCAACAAAGGTTTTGTTTCAGTGTCGATTTCTCGGTTTTGTTTTTATTCTGAAATGTAATTAAAGGATAAGGAATCATCCACTTTTAATAAGAGATCCAGATGTTTTTCCACTTACGGCATAAAATTGGTCTTTTAGAATCAGCTTGAACGTAGACACGTCTACGGTTCCAACGGTACGGTCCAAACTTCTCTAGGTTAAACTTTAAATCATTTTATGCTATCGAATGCTCGATTAGGGACGCTAGGACGCATGGAATTGTATCGTGCGAGAATATTTCACACGAAAACTCTCATCATTCCGTAGGTAATCAAGAAAACATTAAGAAGCAACACTTCTTTCGTATGGCGTGGTGAATGCGTAACGTTTGGTTACTAGTGTGAAATACAATATTAATCCATTTTTTTTATAAATAAACTGGCCTGTTTGTTTTTGCCAAAAAGTCTACTGGTGGTAGGACCTCTTGTGAGTCCGCACAGGTAGGTACCACCACCCCGCCTATTTCTGCCGTGAAGCAGTAATTCGTTTCGGTTTGAAGGGTGGGGTAGCCGTTGTAACTATACTGAGACCTTACAACTTCTATCTCAAGATGGGTGGCGCATTTACGTTGTAAATGTCTATAGGTTCCAGTAACCACTTAACACCAGGTGGGCTGTGAGCTCGTCCACTAATCGAAGAAAAAAAAAAAGTTGACCTTAGTTAATCGTTGTTATAAAATTAAAACGAAAATAAACTATGCTTGATTAATGCAAAGTAAAGCATAAAAATCAATATACTTATTTGACTCCGTTTAAATAATATTAAATGAAACAATGCAGATTAGTTTAATATAAAAAATGTTAAGTATTGTCTTGTGACTTAGCATTTTCAGTGATGCTGTTTTGATTTTATTTAATATAAAGTCTGTTAAAGATCGCTTGTATCTAGGAAATACCTTTATGGAATTAAGGGATATTTTGTGAACTGTTGAAGAAGTAGGATTATAATATTGACAATGCGTTTAATTGATTATAAAGTTAGGTGTTATGGTTTTCAAAGTTTTGGAAGAAGGTACAAAATGAAAAAATAAAAACGAATATATGAGACCTATAAAATCAAAGGCAGCTAAACGCCTTAATGTCGTAGAATGGATTAACAATGGCGCTATCTTGTTTAGTTAGTTAGACACGCTTTAGTGTTTTCGTGTTATATAACAAATGCAGCTAAATCTCTAACAAATCGAAGTTTTATCATTTAAAATTCAGATTATTAGTAATATTCTCATTCTTTATAAATCTGCTTTAAAATAAAGAATATCGTAGCTATCCAAACAGTTATTTCAGCTTCTCAAACCGGGAGTGTTGCTAACACTGGCCCTAGCAAGAGCAGTACTTCGATGTATCGGGAGGATCCGTAATGACGTGTTTAGGGCCGATTTTTGTAATTTACCTGAATATTTGACAGACTTGGATTTAGCTGCCTTTGATTTTATAGGCCGCATATACAATAAACATGTTTGACTCCGTGTTACTTATCTTTTTATATTAATTAAAAGGGACGGATTAGTTCGAGGTTCTAACGATGAAGACTTAGGTGAATGACTTGGGGTCATTGATTTCGGTAACTGGCAAACTGGGTTTCCTTTACACGCCGCCAAAGTTGCGTATACCTAAACCTTTTTTTATGTAAATCATTGACTTAAAATTGCGTACTTTCTAAATTACCCGTGTTCGTAATTTTATTGTCGTTTATGCGAATGTGTTTGTTATGCAAAGCTTACGTAATATTTAAGAAAGTTTTGGTTTATTGGAGGATTGTTTAGTATTATTATTATTACATTAAACATGAATTGTTATAAAAAAGTATTCATTCCATTTTTCTGTTTTAAATGTCATTAAATTAAATAATAAAAAAAATGTATAGTAATATATTTTTGCAGTGAACATGCTGTAATCTTTCAATGTGCTTAGTTTTCTATCTTTAAAATACACGATGGTTATGAGAGAATACTTGACAGTGCTTAGAAGTGCTTAGATCGGGACCAGTGACGCGTATTGCGAAGAGCCTAAGTCTAATGGACTAACCTAACCTAATTGTTACGAAATTAACGTCAGACTTTAGTTTTTATTGCACGAAATCGTAATTAAATACAATTACGGGATATCTTGTACTGATGGTAGGGTGCGATGCAGGTATCATCACTCCGTCTTATTTCTACCGCAAATGTTTCAAGATAGTTTGCTAAATTCAGGTTGTGATTTCTCTGGGTGCTCCGGAAATCACGAGTGAGCTGAGAGCACGTCCACCCATCTCAGCAATAAAAAAAACAATTCGTATTACAACAATAATAGTGGTATGGATCTTTCATAACAAATCCCATTACCTATTGTAATTATGGCTCGTGGGAAGCTTCTGTGTTTATATAGCGCGGTTATCCAAATTAACGTTGATCGACATACGTTCTGTGTATAAAATAATATTGGTGTGTCCTATGTTATGCTAAGTTATGATTCATAGCAGTGTGAACACGACGTATACATTAAAACTGTTTTTATGTGATAATAGCGCTGTTGACGACAGCAAAACCTATATGCGCGTTGTTTTTTTTAAGAGATTTTATGACCAGGTAACTAAGACCTTTATGTCTGTCAAGTCTTATTCTAATTTTAATGAAAACGAAATGAAATGAAATAAAATAAGATAAGATGAGATGGGATGAAATATAATCTCAGTAAAATTGTGGTCATTTACTGAAACGAAACTTTGTCAGTGGACTTTTTGGAGGATCCCGAGAAGTAACGCTCAGCGGCTTTGTTTCATTTTCTCCCATTTGTGCACTTTCACAGATACTAAACAGTTAATAAACCACCGTTATTACACATTTAAACCTGAAGAATCACTAAACAGACAAAATAAAACAAATCACACAACTTCACTCAACAAAGAATATACATAATATAAATAGTAGAACTTGCAATGATAGCTACTTACTTAAAAATAAGTGTATAACATCTCTCTAAATCGATTGAAGATATTTGCAAAATATATTGCGTTGTGGCATTTACGTACGTCCATTTTTGCCGGTCTGTTTGCGTTGTGTGTATTCCCACGATGATTCATCAAATCAAAGTTTCAATTGCATTGAAATAACAATCATTTATGTACAAGCAGTATCTACTCAACAGAGAAAACGAAAAAACAATGTTGGATTCTGCATATTAAGAGCAACAGGAAGTAAAAGCTTGAGGTTAGAATTAACAAATTTATATTATATCCTATCATATGACGGATTTAAATTAACTATTGATTTAAGTTTATTTCTCTACGCTGACGAGAACAAAAGATGCCGCAGTACGAAATAATTCGATAGATATCTAAATATTAATACGTGAAGCAAAAACTTTGTACCCCTTTTTACGAAAATTGCGCGGACGGAGGAGTATGACATTTCTCACACTTATAGAGAATATAGAGAAGGAGTGCACAATGCTAATATTTTTTTTAAATAATGCATATTAGATACTTTAAATCAATAAAGAAAACATAACACACACTACCATATATTTGACACAACACATACATAAAATATACTCTTTGTTTACTGTCAATTGGGAAACTTTTGTTATTGCTTAAAGTCTGTGGTCGAATTGAAAATAGATTAATATTGTTTGTCTTTAATATTATTGATCTATAGTGCAGTTTTGGCGAATACTGTGATTATATTATCGAAATATAATAGTGTTTGACGATAGAACCATAATAATGCTTAAATTTATTATTTCAATTAATTATAGTCGAATCTCGACTACTGCGGGGCCACTAGTAATAATAGAATTGCGATATATTATTATATGTATATCATTACGTCATGCGAAAGAGCTTACGATTATAACCTTCAGGTGTCCTCGTATAGCCATGTTGCACGTAAATTCGACGGTGATTAAGAAGATAAGGCACTCCTTATGATCGGTACAGCGTTTGGCTGGTATCTAACGCAACAGTAGGTAACCGGATACCATCGACAAAACAATCTGGAACGGTAGTTTTAAGCGATGGTAATTAAATCGAAACGACCGCTGCTCAATCAATATTTCCGTGTAACATTAATGTTTCATATTTTAAATGACCAAATCAAATCTAATCATTCTAAATACCATTTGAAGTGCATGATTTAAAATGTGAGTAAACGTTCTGGATTAGTGTATAATCTATGGTTCGGACGTGTATTATTTCGCCCCAAATGACGTCACTTGTAATGATAAGCGTCATAATATTATGTCCAATGGCGTGCAGCAAAGTTTTGTTAAATTTACGCGGCAACTTTAATAAGGAATATTACGTTGTTGAAAAAGTTTTTGTGTAAGGTAGCTCTTGATCTTGTTGACCAAATAAAATAACAAATTACACGTATTTTAAGAGATCTTTTTAACACCGAATCTGCAATGAAATTTGACGGTATTTGCCGAGAGCTACATAATGACCCCTGTCAAAAAAAACAATTCTCAGCGATAGGCATTTAATATGGTATTACTGCTGGCCATGAGCGTTTATGATCACCTACAATCACGTGAGCTGTAGGATCAGGGCAATAAAAAATATAAAAATTTATATCGAAAAAAATACAGCCGATTCCATTTGTAATTTCAAGTGGGCTCTGTGTTGTTTTTGTTGATATGACTCACGAGCTCCACACATGGACGACGGCACCGATAACATCACATTGCGTAATGCCATATGTTCGTGTAGTCCACGCTTTATTTAC